AAGGAAATGGGCCAATACTAATGCCGTCATGAATGAATTTGGGGCCAGCAGGTGGCGTGGTGGTTAAAGGCTGACAGTGGTTCAAGTCTTGGTCCTGGTGGCTTGCTTTCTCCCCTTTCCTTTCTCTCTCTCTGGTCAAATTTTAAAAATAATAAGAACAAATAGGGGACCAGCAATTGGAGTAATGGCTATGTCGCTGGACTCCCATGAAGTCAACCGCGCGGTTCTAGTCCTGGACTTGCTGGCTTAAACTCACGCCAGGTGCGTGTGTGTGTGTGCCCAAGAACTCGAGAGGAGAATGGAGGAGAAGGGATTGAGGTATGGCCATCCCCCCTGGGGGGAGATTTCTTGCTTTCTGCCTCTCTCTCTCTTTCTGGCGAGCGCACGTGCCCTATAGCAAAAACCTCCTAAAAAAAAAAAGAAAGAAAGAACAAATGGAATTAAATAAATAAATAATTCTCTAAAAGGCAAAAAAAAAAAAAAAAAGAAAAAGAAAAAGAATTAATTCGATGAGAAGGAGAAACTCCATCACCAGGCTCCAGGGGCAGTAGGTACATTCTCAAGGTGAGAGGCCTCTCGAGAAGGGCCATGGAAAAACTTCTTGGTGGGAGAAACTGGTGGGTGAGTTTTACAATTAATCTCTGAGTTGTGCTTGCTCGCTGTTTTCACGTTTTGGATCTCCCATACACCATAATGACATTCACAGAAATGAAGAGCAAAGGAGTAGAATTTTCCACAAACCTGATCATCCCTCCAGGCCAACTGTTGTTTTCCCCCAGTGTTTCTTTTTCTTTCTATTTTTTTTTCTAATTTGCCAGAGATATGTGTGCTCACCAGAGAGAGAGATAGAAAAAGAGATATATATATAGAGAGAGCACCCCTGGGGTGGGGTGGTGGCTTCACTATAATCCCTTCTCTTCCATTCTCCTCTTGGGATTTTGGGCACACACACACACACACAAGCCCAGTGTGTTTTTCAAGCCACCAGGCCCAGGATTCAAACAAGAGTCAACCACGTGGGATCTAGCTTCCTTAACTTCTCACCCCATTTTTCTTGCTTTTCTAGATCTTGTTCATAAGCGTATTTTTACCCGAAACACTTTCCTGTCTTGTCTTCCAGGACCCCGTGCCTCCCCAGTATCAACTCTTCCCAGTCTCGTTGGCTGGTTCCTTCTCATCATCCCAGCCCTGGCCCTTTTTTCCTTCACCTGAACTCAGTTTCTTTGTGACCCTGCTCAGTGCTGTGGCTTTAAATATCCCCTAAAACTCACTAGCTACCTCCTTTATCCTCCCTGATCTTATACTTCTCCTGAGTCCAAACTCAGTTTTCTGCCTCTCCCAGGGCCTCTCACTGGCATCTCAAATGAACATGTTCAAAAAGTGGTACTTTTTGATTTTCTCCCACCAGCCTGCTGCTCCCTGAGTCACGCCCTTAAAGGACACCACCCCGTGCTCTATTGAGAAAACACATGTCCTAGGGACCTTCTGGACCCCTTCCTTTGCTTTGCATGCCACAGCGCACCCACCAGCCAGCCTTGTCAGATGCATACCCAAATGCGTCCTGAATCCAGACCCTACTTCTTGCTTCCCCTGCCCCCATCCCCTGCCCAGTCTCACTTGGGCTGCTGCAAAGGCCTCCCAGTCTCTCTCCTTTCCTGTTCTCTTGCACCTCTATGGGTGATTGCTGCAGGTTGAAAGACTTAGGTCAGGTTGTTACTCCTCTGCTCAAATATCTCCCCGTCTCCCTTGGAATTGGAGCTGTGATCTTCACCCTAACCTGGCCACCAGCTCCCACTTCGCCCTCCCCTGGTTGCCCCTGCCTACCTCGTACAGCTGTGCTGGCCTCACAGCTGTTCCTGGGCACGCGGGCATGTGTGCCTGCTCTTGCCTTAGGGCCCAGACCTTCCTCTGGAATGACGTGGGTCCTCACTGCATTCACAATGGTCAGGGGCCTTCGTAGACAACTGCTTAGTACAGCCTTGCACAGTCTCCGTTCCCTTACTGGGTCTTCCTGGCTCCCGCAGAATGAGCTCAGTGAAATGAAATATCTGTTTGTTTTTCTAGTTGCCTCTGCAACTGGAAAAGCAGCGCCATGAGGTCTTGGTCTTCTGTCTTCTCCAATGTTGTATTCCCAGCAACCAGAATAATCCCTGGCGTGTAGTGTGTGTTTAGTAAACACTTGTTGAATTAATAAATTTGCTCTTTATCAGATCTTTAAAAAATAGCTCCTTTGGGGCTAGCATTAAGGCACTGGACCCCCACATGGTCGATTGTGTTTTTGAGTCCTGGATCCAGTAGTTTAAAAAACACACCATGCACATGTGCGTGCCCAAAATCCCAGAAAGAGGATGGGGGAGAAGGAATTGTGGAGTGGCCAGTCCCCCGGGAGGTATTTTCTTACTTTTCTCTATTGCGAGCACATGCACCCTATGGCAAAAACCTTTAAAAAAAGAAGGAAAAAAAAGTGACTCCTTTTTAGGCCAACTCTGTGACTTTATAGGGTCATGAAAGGTTTTTAAAAGACAGAAGTAATTTTGCCTGGATTCAGTCCTGCCCTTTCTGTGGAGCTATCTCAGTCTGTAAGCTCTTCCTATCTTGAGCTCTCCAGCCGATGTTATGGCTCCGCCTTGCTGACCTCCAGCTCAGGTTTCTGAGCAGAGACAGCTGTGTCTCACCACTTTCTCAGCATCCTGTCCCCTCCTACCCTGCTCTCCTGCTGGCCTAGTGGATCTCAGAGATGCCCCACGACCACCCAGAAAAGGACTGGGTCCCCGTCTGTTTGTGGAACAGAGCGAGGAAAGGGCTGAAGTGAGGTTCTCTTGGACCCCAGTTTCGTGAGCCTCTGACCCATGTTAGGGGCTGTGGCCAGTTTGGGGCCATGGAGGACACAAAGATGAAGGCCACTGTCCAGCTCTCAAGGCGTCCCCAGACGACTGGGAGAGAGGTGTGCACATGTACACCATATGAGTGCCGCATGGCTGCGGAGAGGGGTCCCATATTCCAGAGGGGACAAAGGCTAACCATGTGCACGGAGGCAGTGTGGAGGCATGGCGGCATGAGAGGCATGGCATGTGTGGGCATGAACGAATATCCATCCCATGTGGCCAGAACTCAGGGTGCTGGGATGGGGGAGAGTCCTGAGCGGAGGAAGACACAGCAGGACAGGTGGGCAGAAACAGAACATACGGGGACTTAGACAAGGGCCCTTGGAAAGTAGAATTGAAGGATGAGTACATTTTGGTGGGAAAAAAATTTAAAATTCATGCACGGTTTTCTCAGAATGCTTATCTTTCAGAAACTTTTTGAAGACCCCCTTTGTATGTTACACTAAGGAACTGGGACTTTATTTATTCTGAGTCCTTTCACCCATTTACTCACTCATTCTCTGAGCCAGTGTATCCTGAGCTCCTGTTACATGTCAAGCACAGTGCTGGGCTCCGAGTGTAACTTACTTAACAAGCAGTCATTTTCTTTGCTGTTAGAGAGTTAATAAGCCATGAATGCCAAAGAAAAATTATATGGCAGCTCCTGCCCCTGCGACTATATGAATTGGAAACTTTACTCTAACGTAGGATGGAAACTGTTCTGCCAACAATGGGTACACGATTAAGCAAATTATGGTATATCCATACAGTGGGATATTATGTACCCATTAAAAATGATGTTTATAGGGGCCAACGAGTGATGCGGTGGTTAAGGTGCTGGATTCCCACATGACTAACCATAGTTCAAGTCCTAGATCTGGTGGCTTAAAAATCAAGCTGTGTGCATATGCGTGCATGCCCAAAATCCTGAGAGGAGAATGGAGCAGAAGAGATTGCGGTGTGGCCATCCCCCCTTGGGGGTGATTTCTCACTGTTTCTCTCTCTGTTACTCTCTAGTGAGTGCAACGGGCCTAATGGCAAAAACCTAAAAAAGATGTCTATAAACATAGGAGAAGTGTTTATGACATTTCTTAATAGCATAGGAGAAATACTTAGGATACTCATCGAGAAAAGCAGAGTAAAAACCTGTATTGAATAATATACATTCATGAGAATAACAGGCATTTGGAAAGGCCATAAAATACACAAAAATAGGAATTATCGCTGACTCATGTCACAGTGATTTTCCACTGCTTTATTCATTTTTCTATACAAAAGTCTTCTCTATTAAGTGTATGTTTGCCTCTCGGCCCACCATTTATATAATAGGAAAACGATGAACAGAACCAAAAACAAAAGTTGTGCACTGGGGGAGTAGATGGGAGAGACATGCTTCTACTCAACACAATCGAGGTGGCATGGAGCCTGAGGGGTGGGGCTGGCGGGAGGGCTCTTTGCCTTTCTCATCAGGGCAAGTCCTCCAGGACCCTTGGCTGGTCTCCCACTCTCCCTGGATAGATGGAGCAGTGCGTCTATGGGAGAGTGGATGGGAAGGGAAGCGGGCAGCAGCATGTCACCCTGGCTGGGAGGGCACGCCCTGCTCCTCATGGACTCCGGTTTGCTTCTTTACCTCGGACTTGTCAGTCTCCCCTCTAGGGGGACTCTTTCCATGGCCACCCACCTCCCTGGGCACTTTCTAAAGACATTTCCAGGAAGCAGGATGGTCACAGGGGAAGTGGGCGCTCTTTTTGGAATAAAGACCTGCTCTTTTCATTTTTTTTTTTTTCTGTATGCCAGAGGTGTGTGTGCCAACTAGGGAGAGAGGGGAAGAGGAAGAAAGCACCCCCCATGGGGCATGGCCACACCACAATCCCTTCTCCTCCATTCCTGCATCGTGTCGGGTTTTAGGGCATGCACACCCATATGGACATGCCCAGCTTGTATCTCTAGCCACTGGGGCGTGGATTCAAACCACACTTGACCATGTGAGATCCGGCTCTCTCAACCACTAGGCCACGGGCCTGAAACACGGTTTTGTTGTTGTTTTTTAACATTCTGTTTTTCCCCCCAGACTTCAGCCTCTTCCAATCCTTCTAGCAACTAATTTATGTTTTGTTTTGTTTTTTTCTCTTCTAGGAAATGATCGCAATGGTCTAGATTTCAGCAGGCAGGTAAGAACTTGGGTCAGAAGAAAATGTTTGGGGGATCACCTATACCTTGTTGGGTGTTGGGGGGTACAAAGCAGATTAAGTATAGCTTGAGGGTATTTATCCATGGACAGCTTTTAGGACTCAGGCCCTGAGTCCGATCCTGTGTTGGGATCTCCTTTTCAGTATCCCCTCAAAAGAGTATTGACGCGTGAAGCATCTCTGCCAGTGTGGAGGATGAACTGCGTGCCAGGTGTCACCCAGGTATCCGAGGTGATAGCTCTTTTTCTTTTGAAGCTTAGCTTGAGCTGCCTCTGGGGTGAGTCGAACTGTAGGCACTGACTGTGAGGAGCGGACCTTGTGGGGCTATGAAGGAGGAAGTACCTAGGTTTCTGATTTAAAGGAAGAGGGAGTTGATCTCTGTAGTGCGCTCAGTAGTATACTGGACTGCTGTGCTGGGAGCCGTGCGACTGACCGTGGGTTCGGGTCCCCGGCCCAGTTGACCTGAAACACCTCTGGCGTGTCCAGGATCTCGTTGAGATGGAGAGTGGAGGGATGGGATTGTAGCCCGACCAGACCTTGCCAAGGGTCTTTCTCTCTCTCATGCACACTAGTAAAAGAAAAACGAAAGGAAGGGAAAAGACAGGGCAGGTAGCAGGAGAGACCGATCAAGCAGAAAGGAGCATAGTACCGGGTTTGGGGGTCTGCGTAGATGCAAGCTCGATGCTCTGGAGGGAAACCACACTGGGAGAGGTGAGACACGGGCGGTGCTTTGGGCAGGAAGGTGGTGTCGGAAAGACTGCAGGACAGGCTGCTGTGGATGGGTAGAGAAGGGTGAAGCCATGGCAGAGGGCTTTGCTCTGAGGTCAGAGGCTGGTGGGAGGACTGTGGGAGGGTGTCGGCAGGAGGTGGAGCAGGGGAGTGTGTTGGGGGGGGTGTGTTGGGAGGAGTGAGTCCAAGCTGGAGACGGGCAGGAGGCCATGCTGACAACCCCTGGAATAAGGCAGGGGGATGCGAGCCGGATGCCAGGCTGGGAAGCCTGGTGACTTTCTGCCACCAACTAGCTGTAGAACCTTGGCTGCATCATCTAACGTTTTTGGCCTGAGTTTCTTCAGCAGAAAAATCCATTTATTCCATACATTTAGGGGAAGGGGCACCTATACGTGGTAGGTGTGGGAATATGAAGAAAGTTAAGGCCTGGTCTCTGCCTTGAAGGAGTGCCAAGTCTAGTCCAAAGAGAGGGAAGGGAGGAGGGAGACGGGAGGAGGAGAGGGAGGAGAGGAGGAAGAGGGAGGAAGAGAGGGAGGAGAGGAGGGAGAGGGGAGGAGAAGGGGAGGAGGGAGAAGCTCAGTGAATGACTGCCGCCTCATTCATGCTTTTCTGGAAGAATGTAAAATGCATGGTGTCAAAAAGAAGCGGGGGCGGGGGACCAGTAGTTAGCATAATGGTTATGTCGCTGGACTCTCATGTAGTCGACCGTGGGTCAAGTCCCAGACCCGGTGGCTTAAACTCATGCCGGGCGCATGTGCGTGCGTGCGTGCCCAAGATCCCGAGAGGAGAATGGAGGAGAAGGGATTGCGGCATGGCCATCCCCCCTGGGGGGTGATTTCTCACTCTCTGTCTCTCTGTCTCTCTTTGTCTGTCTGGCGAGTGCATGCGCCCTATAGCAAAAACCTCTCCAAAAACTAAGAAGTGGGGAGACAGCAGGTGGTGTAGTGCTTATGTTGCTGGACTCTCACGTAGCTGACCGTGGTACGAGTCCCAGACCTGGTGGCTTGAAACTCATGCTGCACACATGTGTGTGTACCTGAGATCCAAGGAGAAGGGAATAGAAGGGACTGTGGTGTGACCACCCCCCCGGGGAGGGATGACTTCTCACTTTCCCTCTCCCTGTCACTGTCTCTCTCTCTCTGGTGAGCACACACACCCTATAGTACTCCGCCCAACCCCCCCCCCCAAAAAAAAAAGAAAGCAAGAAGAAAGAAA